CACACTAGCCAGTGTAGCACTGCAGGACCACTACGGTGCTGCGGGGGAACTGCATGCTGGGTATTGTGTAGCATGATGTCACCGCTTGTATGGCCCCTGGGCTCCTCCCACTCCCTATGCCCTGCCTGTGGTGTCCCAGCATACACACAGAGACATTAGATAAAAACAGCAAATGCCGCTGCTGGAAGGTCACACTGTAAAGCGACTGTATTTCTTAGAATCCAGACCAATAACACCCAGTGACCAAAACCAGAGACAGACAAAGCAGGCTGCTCCCGAAGGCAGTGAGGCTCTACTCACCCACCTTGTTCCAGGCTGGCTCTTCCCAGACTGACTTGGATGGCTGACTTCCCTGCAGAGCCCCGTAGCCTGCAAGCAGGATATGGAACGTCCTCTCCACCCAGCTCTTAATGCGATAGCATGCAATTCCAACAGAGTCCTCAACACACCATGGGGCCCGGTCCTCTCCCCTCACTGTGTGTGTCGGCTCGGCTTTGTGCCTGCTCTCACACTGCTCTCCTCGCCTGCAATGCTGCCCCCAGCTCCTGCCTGAATCAACCCTTCCCGCCTTCTGCCCATATCCATCTATCCTTCCCCCCACCCATCCTGCATTCGCCACCAGGGTAGCCGATGCCCAAACCCTCTCTCCCCCGGATTGCTGTCAGACTGCCAGGGCTTGGAGGCAAGGACCGTGTTTGTAAGTTACTGGCACTGCATCAGTGTACATTAATGTGAAGAGTAGTCACGGGAGATGGATGCATTCAGATGAAGTGCCAGGGAAAGACACATGAAGAGGGAGAAGAAACGGGCTCTCGGGTGGGCAGTGAGAGGCACAGCTTCCTTGCACTGTCAGCTCTATGGGGCGGGGACTGTCTTTTTGTTGTGCCTTTGTGCAGCGCCTGGCACGATGGCGTCCTGATCCGGGACAGGGGCCCCTAGGCACACCCATGGTACCAATAATTATGAATAATTATTATTATCCCGCTGGCTCAGATGGGACGAACCAGCAAGGGGGGTGGTTTATAAATATGCAGCCGGATCCCTTCTACTGGGAGAAGGGGGGGTCTCCGTGAAGGCCAGGCAGGCAGTGATGTGCTGGGGAGACGACTTCCACGAGGCACGGGAGCCGGCGTCAGCAGGCGGCCATCCTGCCTTCTCCACTGGGCCCCGGTCTGGCACGGCTGTGTGACCGGCTGCTGTCGCCGACCAGACGAGAATGCCCGGAGCAAAGGGGGCGCGGGGGCCTGCGTGGGAGCCCTGGTCCGTGCCTATGTTAGTTCTCAGCGAGCTAAAGGACTGTGCCACATCCTCAGGACAGCTGGAGGCGCAGGGCAGGCTCCCAGGCTAGCAGCTCCAAGCTGCTGTGACGGGGCAGACAGGCGATAGGGAGCAGAGCTGTGGAGAAACCCCACCTACTACGGCCCCCGAACCACAACGCAGCCCTGGCAGGGAACGAGAGGCTGCAGTGTACTCCCCAGAAGGGCCAGTAGGTGGCAGACTCCTCCCAGACAAGCGGCTTGCTCCATCATCCAAGTGGGCGCTGGAGGGGCGAGCGGGTCCTCTGAGTGTGATGGAAGTTTGCTCCCACATCCCGTTGGCAGGAGCAGACCGAGCAGATGCCCAAGTGCTAGGCCCCATGCGGCCGGGCTGGTCCCGTGTGCCCCGTGGCTGCACCTGGAGGAGACTGATGGAGTTTGCACGCAGGGTATTTGACACGGAAAAGGGGAGCGGAGCCTCTGAAATCCGCTCCCCTCAGCCACGCCCAGCCCCTGTGAGCGACAGTGACACCCCTCACACCTGCCAGCTGCTCCAGCAGTCCTGAGCCAGCGGCAGGGCCAGGAGAGGGCAGGGCCCCCAGTGCTGTTAGTCCGCGCACGGCACCTTACTGAGCATATTACACAGCTGACAACAGGAGGCGCAGGACGTGACTGTTCACCCAGGGCCGGAGAGCGAGGCTGCTGGGGTGACTCCTGTCCCTTGGGCTGGGCCTGGCTCCCTGCTCCGGTGTATGGGGCACGTGGTGCTGGGACCCTGTGTGTTAGGTCAGAACAGCACTCGCTCAAATTTGTCCCGTCCGCTCTCTGTCATGATGGGGGGAGCGAGGCCAAACCTGAGCAGTGCTGTGACCCCATGAGCTGGGTCACAACGCCCGGAGCAGGCCTCAGCCCCACGGGACAGGAGCTGCTGCTGCTGGGTGATCTCCAGCCCACCATCCATCGCCCCCGGGCTGCACACCCTGGCTCTGCCACTGAGCATGACACGGGGCGTGGGTGGGCTGATCTCTGAAATCCCTTAGGAATAGCTACCCAGACCCGAGCACCCCCGAGACAAGGCCCTACTGCATGAATCCCCTGCTCCCCACCTCCCGGAGAGCGCACGCCTCTCCCTAGCCCACACGAGTCCCGCCCATTCTCAGCCTGGCTCCGTCATGAGGCCAGGGCTGCACACCACCCGTCTCCTTGGGCGGGGCCGCTGAGGCACAGCATGCAGAGGGAAGCCTGGCCTGACACTGACAAGGCGCAGATGCCACGGTGATGGGCACATTAGCCATGGAGAGCTAGACAGGGCTGCCAGACAAGGAAGCGTGGCTTGTCCCAAGTGCAAAATAGCCGCTTGCCTCAGTGTCCCGGCAGTGCCTAGGGAGGTTAGCTTATGCATGCGGCCCTGCAAGGTGAGAGCAGCCACAGGTTGGATGGGCCGCAGGGAGCCAGGGGAGGAAGCCAGCTGAGTAGTGGGGCAAGGGGGCAACTTGTCCAGAGGGGAAGGCAGGTCTCGTGGCTGAGGCTCTGGGCTGGGCTTCAGGAGAACAGGATCCAATCCCTGCCTCTGTCTCAACTGGGGCAAGTCATGTCAGCTCCCCAGAGCCCCTGTCCACAGCTGTACTATGAGGATAATGGTCCTTCCTGTGTCTGCCCGGCCGGTTTAGACTGTGGAGCAGAGACTGTCTCTCACTAGGTTTCACGTGCAGCTCCTAGCACATGGGGCCTGATCTCCATTGATACACACAACCTTGCCTGCTTTTCTTGCTGCTGGAGGCCAGTGTGCATTGCCAGACCCATCTCGGGGGCACTGGGCACGCGGCATGGCCGGGAGAGGGTCCTTGGCACTGCACTCCCTGGGGCTTAGCCAGAGAATTGAGTTTTGCCTCATTTGGATTTTCCCCCAAAAGGCCCACACTAGCCCCCACACTCTGATCCCGTCTCCCGTTCGGCCGGAGCGCAGCTCCACCACCCTGCAGCCAACCAGCAAGCCCCAGCTGGGATGCTAGTGACTGTGATTAAAGTCCCCAAGCCAGCTAGCACGCGACCAGTACATGCTGCCAGCACCGAACCTGCCCCCGCTTTCGAAGAGACTTCAGCTGAACTTTATCGGGGACAGAACCTGAATCAGGAGGAGGGAGGCATTAATAATTCCTGGGCCCATTTCCAAATGTTCTGTGAGCTGCAGGGGGAGGTGCTCACAAGGGCGCTGGTGAGAGGGAACTAGCACTCAAGAATACAGTGGTGCAAAGGCAGGATCACTCAAGAATGAAGCAGGCCAAAGGCACTAGCATGACAAGATCACTCCAGAATACAGCAGTGCAAAGACACTAGTGTAACAGGACCATTTGAGAATACAGCCGTGCAATGGCACTCATGCAACAGGATTACTCCAGAATACAGTGGTGCAAAGGCACTAGTGTGACAGGGTCTGTTGAGAATACAGCAGTGCAAAGGCACTAGTGCAACAGGATCCCTCAAGAATACAGCAGTGCAAAGGCACTAGTGTGACAGGATTAGTTGAGAATGCAGTGGTGCAAAGGCACTAGTGCGACAGGATCCCTCAAGAACACAGCGGTGCAAAGGCACTAGTGTGACAGGATCATGGTACGCTGTACAACGACACCAAGTGACCCAGTGGCAGCATTAATTCCTGTGCCCAGTGGATCACAGTTGCCACCTTCCCTACACTAGCTAGAGAACAGCTTGTCTATCAGTGCTGGTATCGTGTTGTGTGTGCTGCAGTAGCTGCAGAGGGATCCCCACTGGGACCACAAATCCTGGCTGGCCATCCCAGCTGCCAGGCCGAGTACAAAAGTTCACCTGGAACAAGCAAGTCATTGCCTAGAAGAACTAAAGAGCTGTGCTGGAGTGGAGGAGTGGTGCTGAACCTCGGCCGTCTGCCTGACCTCTCCTCCCCAGAACGCTGATGCCCGTCACAGTGTATTTAGAGGCAGAGTGAGGCAGGTACAGGATACAGCAGCAATTTCTCCCTGCTTAATTAGTGGCTGCAGAGAGGACAAGAACCCATTGCAGTTTAGCAGGGACCATCAATAACAGCCAGCCAGCTGATTCAGGGTATGCTTCAGGCAGCAATGTTACACAGGCACTTCCAGGTGGGCGCTGATTTCAGGACATGGAGTGGAGGCCAGTTACCTCCATCCCCAGATTTCTCGCAGAGCTAAGCAGATAGGAGAAACCAGCTCCCAAAATGTACTGGCCAGTGCTGGGTGCAAGGCTGGCTCCCTGCTGTTACGAAATTCACGCTGCCTTTTTCCCGTCTGCTAAAGGGACACTGCCAACCACCGGGGACCTACAGGGGACAGGGGAAGCAGGAGCGGCGCCAGGGTTTTTGCCGCCCTAGGCGGCAGCGCTCCTCCTCTGAGCATTCGGCGGTGGGGGTCCTTCCGCTCCGCGTCTTCGGGGCACTTTGGCGGTGGGTCCCCAAGCGAGTGAAGGACCCACCGCCGAATTTCCGCCGAAGACCCAGAGCGGAAGGACCCCCCGCCACCGAATTTCCGCCGAGGGCGGCAAAATACCACCCCCCAAATCCTGCCACCCTAGGCAACCACCTAGGGTCACCTAGTGGAAGCACCGGCCCTGAGGGGAAGAGACCAGCCAGATTTCCAGGCATGTTCGGCGCCCAGCAGCTCTCCTGGCGACACTTACGGCCATGTCCTCAAAAGAACTCAACACGCTCCCAAACCTTGGGCACTTATTTAGGTGCCTAAGCAGAAACTGAGCTCTGCTGGCCATCCAAGCCCAGGGGTGGGTGTCGAGCACTGGGGAACCAGGCCGGATATGAGCAGGGGGCTGTGATGTTATTGTTAGCACAACATACCAAGGAGCAGAGTTTGGAGCCTGGCCCGGCCGTGCCGGGGATTCGGACACAGCAGCCCCAGGGGGCTAGGGCATGGAAACTGGGAAGGGAAACTGACTAGAAATAGCGTGAAACTGACCAGTGCCCTACCTGAGCTCAGAATGGGAACAGCTTACAATAGTGCTGATCACTTACAGGGTGTTTTCTGCCTGTAGATCTAAAAATGCTTTGCAAATATGTGCCAGCATCATTAACCCCCATACAGAATGGGAAACTGAGGCAGAGAGGGGAAGTGACTTGCTCGCAGTCAAACGGAGAGACAGTGGCCGACCCAGGGAAAGGCTCCAACTCTCCTGACCCCTGCTCGGGTGTGTAACTCCTAATGCATGCTGCCACTCCACTCCATCAGCCTTTAGACCCCAGTTAGCTCCCACAGCTCCCCGTGACGCCACTCTCACGTCAGACAGTGACTGCTGACCCCCACACGGAGTCACCACAAACAGGCAGTGGAGACAAAGAGCTCATGTTCTTTCCATCTCCCAGCAGAGAGCGTCCCACCTGGGAGCCTGCAGCCAGCTCTGAGGGACACTCTGCTTGACGGATGCACCAATGAGATGCAGCCAGTGCCAATGGAACAGCCATGGCAACCGCACGACAGCAAAACCATCAGCCCCAGCCGCCGGGAGCTGGTGGCAGAGGATCGATATGTACAGCACCGAGCGCCCGGGGCAGTGAGGAGTTGCCCTGTGGAGTCCAGTACCCGGGCAGCACGGTGATGGGGCCGGTTCTCCCAGGCAGCGAGCGCAGCACAGGCAAGGGCCTGATGGAAGCATGCTGGTGCCGCCACAATGAACCTCCTCAGACACATGGGGCAAGTATCCCCAGCAAAGGCGCCCTGTTGCTGGAGGGGCTGATGGTGGGTCTCCCAGGCCTGCTGCTGCTCCCATCACGTGGGGCCAGCAAGCAGCAGAACTGGGATTTCCACTGAGGGAAAGCCCTAGCCACAGTGGGGGACTTAAGTTCTGAGCCCAGGCTCAGAGCGTCAGCGGCCTCCAGGGCATCAGACTGTAAAATACAGCTGGGCACTGACTGCGGAAGGAGCCAAGGCAGGATTTTCTTTGCCGCAAAGCAAAGACAGCGAGAAATGCTTCCAGATGAATACCATAACAAATCCACGCCCAGAGGGGCCTCACCCCGCTGCACGCCATGGCCGCTCGCGGCTTGACGGGGCAGCAGGAACAGAAGCTGGATCCTGCTGCTTCCCACGGCAGAGGCCCTGCAGTCCAGCTACAGGAGAATCTTCATGAGTGCCTAGCAGTCCGGGGCCTATGACACACAGCTGAGCAGTTCTGATCGCACCCAGCAGAGGGCAGCGCTTTCACCAACACTCTGGCCAGCTGATGACATTGCACGGTGGGAAATGAACCGTCTGAGGCACTCAGAAAGAAAGAACCGCCCGACGGAGTGCCTGCTAGTGACACTCGCAGAGTGCTCATCGGAGGCCTGGAGGCCTGCTAGGAGGTCGGCACAGGCCTCGGGTGAGGAGGCACGTGGCAGAAGGTGCATGCAGGAGGGGAAAGCCCAGCGCTGGTTGGGGAGCAGCAGAGGGTATTCTGTATGTCTCACTTCATATGAAACCTAGGCCTGGCCAAGGCCATTGTCCCTCAGCCCCCTAGGCCTGGCCCTGGCTATGGTCCCTCGGCCCCCTAGGCCTGGCCCTGGCTACTGCCTCTTTGGCCCCACAGCTCAGGCTCTCGAAATGAAAGCAGGCCCGTGGCTTCCCCCATGGCAGGGGGTAGCTGTGCGCTCCAGCCCCCTGCTCCAGGGGACACTGCGGGGCTGGGAGAGTGTCCAGCTCAGGAATCAGCGGCTGGGCTCATGCAGGGAGGAGACAGTGAGGGCTCCAGACCCGTCCCTGCTCAGTCAGCCGCTCCTAGGCCCTGTCCTGGCGGGCGAGGTCTCTTACCTGTCGACTGCAGGGTGGTAGAGCGGCCTGCCGTCCTGAGGGGAGAGGTAGCTGCATGCCACGGAGCCCCCGGCAACCCGCACCCGGAACAGGTCCCCCACGCCCTGCAAAAGAGAAGCCCCGAGGGTGAGAATCCCTGAGCTGGCGAGTGGATCCCTGACCACAAGGGGCCAGCGCCTGGCACCGGGGCTGACAAAGGGCCACAGGGCTGAGCGGGAACAGGAGGTGCCTAGGGATCAGTCAGGCAGGGCAGTGAGATGTGTGGCATGCAGACTGTGAGGAAGAGATGCATGGGGTGGCACTAATGAAAGAGCAGCCCCAGCAGAGATGCCCCACGAGGATGCCCTGCCCAGAGAACCAGCTGCGAGACAACCCCGGCTGGTCTCAGGGGCCATGGGGCCCCTCTTGGGCCAGCCTCTCCAACTTACCTTTATTTATACAGCACCTTCCCACTCAAAGCACTTGCCAGACCACAGGAGAAATGCAGCTGCTGCTGGGGAGGAGCACAGTCTTTGCCAGCGAACTGCTATGCCATATTTCAGAGGAAGCGTAGCCTGGTGTCTCTGGCTGACACGGCACGCTGGGGGAGTCAGGGACGCACCCAGGATAAAACAGGGCCAGGAGGCACCAGGTTAATGGCCTGATTCCTGCAAGCCGCTGCATGGATGGAGAAGGCACATTGCATGCTGGGATTGGCTGTCTCTGTTGGAACCCAATGGCCTGCCTTTGACTCAGGCAAACACCCCGTCCCCTCACCCATCACGGAAAATCAATGTCCAGAAAAAAAATCCCTGGCGTCCCCTGGCTGCTCATCCTCAGCCGCCCCCGGGGCTCACTCGTGCCGCACTTCGGAAGGTCCCGTGCGGCTGGGGGATTGACCTAGGTGACACGCTACCCGGCTCTGGGCTGACGCTGGGTTCAGTGCGTGCATTCACCTCCCAGCTGCATGGGAATTCAGGTGCTTCACCTGCGTTAATCCGGCCGGCTGAAGCAATTGAAGATCGTTGGAGGATTTCAAACACCCGGACTCCACCGGCTCTCGTATTGTGGGGACGGCAGAGGCTGAATGGTACCGCGCTGCAAAGGTTGTAAATACACGCAGCTGCTGTGCAAGCTTCTCACACCCCTCTGCTAGCATCCCTCCGAGCTGCGCTGCAGCCCCGCCTGCTAGTCCAGCCCAGGGCCCCTCCACAAGTGGGCCAGCGCACCTCAACACCGAGCGGGATTTCACTCCTGGGCCCCCCTGTAAATTCGCCAGTGTGCTGCAGTCCCGAGCTGCAGCACTCCTGCCGATAGAAGCCGTGGGCCCCAACCCACAGCTCTGCCAGTGCCTCTCAGACAACCCCCAGCACTCCGAACTGCTCCCGCCCTAGCACTCTCAGACAGCGCTGCCAATGCTCCTCACTCCCGACCTGCAGCAACCCCGGAGCCTCTGCTGAGCAAAGACGGAACCATCAGCTCTGGCCCTGCAGCCCCAGTCCGGGCTCTGAAATTCCCTTCCCGGGAAAACTTGCCAAGTTAACACATGACTCGGGCTCAGCTGGAATCTGGGCCCGCTGGAATCAGTGGGAGTCTTGCCACGGGCAGGGTTGGACTAGGGAAGTGAACTTGAGCTGGTGCGGGGTAAGAAGGCGAAGCAATGGCAGCGCCCAGGTGGCAGTGGATGAAGTTAAGGACTGGACAATGAGACACAGAGTCTCTCCCACCTCGCTCGCTGCTTTGGGCCAGCCTGGCACTGCTCATCAGTCCTAAAGTCACTTGGAAAATGGGCCAAACACAAGGTGGCTCCTCCCATCCCAGTCCACGTATAACCCAATGGGGACTGGTGGCTAGGCACTAGGATGGGATCTCTGTGTCTCTGTTTCCCCTGCAAGCTCCTCATGGCAGGGACTGTGGCCATGTGTCTGTACAACCCCTGGCTCGGCTGGGACCTCTGGATGCTACCGGAATACAGCTAGAACAGCCATCACCTGGGGGGGGGGGGGGGGAGGGCCCACATACAGCGAAGCCGAAGTAAGTGCCCGAAGCCATTTGCTCAGCCAGATGGGCCCCCGGATGGATTCTATGGCGCCCTCACTCGTGATGTCTTGGGGCAGG